GGAGGGGGGCATCTCTGTGGTCACCGGAAGAGGTTTAGCATGCAGTGAAGAGGAGGGAAACAGACAAGTGAAAAAGTGTAGAGGCCACACTTCCAATAATGGAATGTAGGCATAAATATCTCACCAAATTAATACCACATCAGTTACCATTTGTGTAATAAGTTTTAAATCCAGTCAGAAAATGACTGATTACTCTCATAACTTTCCTTCCATTGTTGTGTTACAGACACTGTTGTTGTTTATCTGAGGCACAACAGCTGCACCTTATACTCCCTGCCTCACCTGATGACTGGGCCTCTGCAGCTGCTGCTGCGGCCTTGCTCCTGAGGCCTTAGACTGAGGAACTTCAGGTTGGTTAACTAAGGTCTGTCTAGACACATTAGCAGTAAGAATTCAGAAGCCAGATGCTGAGTGAAAACCTGCTACCTCAGAGAGACAAGGCCTTCCTACACACCAGGGGAGATATTCCAGGAGCTCCATTGACTCCTCTAGGAAAAACAACAGGAAGAATGCCACAGCTCAGATTCCAGACAAACAATAGACATAGTTATGACTCAGTAAAGGTTTCATGGAACATTTACAGTTACAGAAGAAAGAGACTCACTAATCAAGACATGTTTCAAACACACTGCTGGAAAAAACTGTTGGGGGTTTCTGCAAAGAGAAGTCCTTACTGCAGGGTTTCTCTGCAGTGTGAACTCTCTTGTGTCTCTTAAGGGATGATACCTGCCCAAAGGCTTTGTGACATTTGCCCCAGCCTTCGGGGCTCTGGTAATTCGTGGGTCCAAGGTGGACTAAGCCTGAAAATAATGGGCGGGAAAGAAAAGTGAGACCAAGCAGTTTTTCCTTGTCAAGGTCTGTCTGTTGACTATAAACAAGGGGTTTTTAAAGAGAAAGGAGGAAGCAGAGAAAGAGGAAGTGGGGGAGGAATGGGTGTTAATTGCTCTCAGGCCAGAGCAGGTGTCTGGGAACCTAAGGGGTGGGGTGCTTGACTAATTGGCAGTTAGCTGAGCATGGAGGTCGCCAGGCCTCTTGCAAAGGAGGACTTTTTTATATCTAACCAGGGCTGGCTCCTGACAGACATTCTTCACACTTATATGGTTTCTCTCCAGTATGAGTAGTCTTGTGTTCCTTAAGGTTTGAGTGGTAATGGAAAGCTTTGTGACATTCTTCACACTTGTAGGGTTTCTCTTCACAATGAATACTCTGATGTTGCTTCAGCATTGAAGGACAGTAAAATGATCTGCCACACTCTCCACACTTATAGGGTTTTTTTCCAGAATGATTTATTTGATGTTGCTTCAGCATTGAAGGATAGTAAAATAGTTTGCCACACCCTTCACACATGTATGTTTTTTCATCAGTATGATTTTTCTGGTGTCTAAAAAGTGCTGAGCATGTATTGAAGGCCTTGTGACATTCTTTACGCTTGTAGGGTTTGTCTCCCGTGTGAAGTCTCTGGTGTATAGAAAGTGTTTTAGAAGAACTAAGGGCCTTGCCACATTCATTGCACTTGTATGGTTTCTCCTTTGTAAGAATTTTCTGCAGTTTAATACTTAAAGAGTTACAATTAATGGTCTTCTTGTAAACGTTATACTCATTGGGGTTTGTCCCTGTTTAGCAAAAGTTGAGATAGGAAAAAATTTAGGAAATATTCTCCATACTTAATCTATTAAAAAGGAAACAGCTACTCACCTGTATTGAAGCATCAGTGAGAAACTACAGTACATTTCAAACCATATGGGCACTAATCATAATTGATAAAATATTATAGGTAGAAATAAAGAATACTTCTATAAGAATAAGGGCACAACTAAATAGAACATTGACATAATGACATACTATTTGAAGTTTAATAGCTTAAGTAGCTTGTAAGGGCATTTTACTAACAAAAATAATAAATTAAACAATAGAGATGTCATACAATCGGACAGGCATGAAATTATAAAATAAAAACACAGGAAAAGGAGAAAGTTAATTGTGACTTTCCAAGTTTCAGCCATCATCTAAATACAAAATTTTTATCTTCCACATAGAGTTTTATTTCTGAAAGTACAAAAGATATGCTGCACAAAAAGTAGATGGTCTAAACATAAATTCCTAGCTCAAAAATTTAGAAGAATATCTTATGTTTCATTTGGAGCAAGAAAATATATAACTGAAACACTGATTCATAATAAAAAAGGAACTTCAGGTTCATGTGTGCATTACACAATTTTTTTTTTTTTTTGGAATATGTCAATCTTAGAAAGCACATATTTGGTGAAACTGAATGGCCAGGGATCTCCTTAATCATTTTAGTGTTCTTTCATTTGTTCTAAGCAAGGTGCAATACTGCAGAGAAAACTCCCCAGTTTATTACCATCACTTGTCACTTCGTATATTCCTTTTTATTTAAATTAATACCAATCTTATTTTACATGCCAATCCCAGTTCCCTCTCCCTCCCAAACTACTATGTCTCCCAACCCCCCATTCCACCCCATCCACTCTCCAGAGTGGGTGAGTTGTCCAATGGGGGATCATCAAAGTCTGTCACATCATTTGGGGCAGGGCCTAGGCACTCCCCTATTTATCTAAGGCTGAGAGTATGTCTCCATGAGGAATGGACTCCCAAAGTCCATGCACTAGGGATAAATCCTGGTTACACTGCCAGAGGTCCCATAGACTGCCATGGTCTCTCAACCGACACCCACATCCAGGGGGCCTGGTTTAGTCCTATGCTGGTTCTCTAGCTGTCAGCCTGTTGTCAGTGCAATATCACTTGCTCAGGTCAGCTGCTTCTGTGGGTTTCCCCAGCATGGCCTTTTTTTTTTTTTCATTTATTTAGCTCATAAATAAAGTCATGCACAATTATGATATACAATACAGTATGTTCACAATGGCATGGCTAAATTAAACCAATTAACATGTTATATCACACAAATTCATCATTTTTGTTTTGAGAACACTAAAGTATACTATCTCACAACTTTTAAAATATAGCATATTGTTATCAACCATATTTATCATGCTCTCAGTAGACCTCAAGACTTCACAGAGTCCATGCCTCTTGTCCAAATGCAGTTTTATATCCTAAAACCAATCGTTTCCCATTGTTAAAAGAAACACATTGAAGCCTAATAGCCACAATTCTGCTCTCTGTTTCCATAAGTTCATCATTTCTAGGTTACACATAAAATTGAAATTGTGTGACATTTGTCTTCCAGTGTGTCACTTTTTTTTTTTTTGTCAAGAATTTAATTTTCATATTTCTTAAAGATGAAATCAAATTTACATGCACAGGTGAGCACTAACTGAAGCGCCTTGGATTCATCACATATTTGAGTTTCAGTTAGCTTATATGTATTTATATAAAAAGAGCAATAACGGCAATATGTTATACATCAATAGCAACAGCTTTTCCAGGTTCTGCAGTCATTTAAACAAAATTGTAGAGACAGCCAGCACACTCCATTTAAAAAACAAAGAACAAAAAAAACAAAACAAAAACAAAAACAAAAACAAAACAAACAACAAAAAAGTAAAAAACAAAATCCCAGAGAACAGTGCAGTTCTGTTACTCTTGTGGTACTTGGCACCATTTTTTTTTTTTT